TTCTTGATTTCTTTTCACTGTATTTTATTTTTAAAAAGCAGGGGGGTAGGGCTCGAAGATGGCCACACTGGGCTGAAGTGCAGATACAGATCATTATATTTTCCCCCTAGAGCACTGGTTTGTAAACTGTAGAGGGTTCATAAATCCTTTGAGAATCTGAGGGACAAGACACATGTGCACGTGCACACAAAATTTTACACCAGTTTCAAGGAGTTCAAAGATCCCTTCACGTCCATCCACAGACAGGCTAGGGGTTCACAGACTCCAGTTTAAGAATCTGTGTCCTAGAGGATGGTGATTTCCTTTTGTTGGAACAGCCTAGGAGTCACTGAGCCTAGAAATTGAATTCTCATCCCAAGACAGGATGGTCATTTCAGGTCATGTCTGTGCTACTCCAGGGGAGCTATGGAAGAGTTTATACAAATAGGAACCAGCAGGAAGGAGAGAAATTAAAATGTAGCAATCATGGAGTAGGGGTATTTAATCTCTTTTAAGGCTTATGATAGGCGCCTGCTGGTTTTCCCCCTGATATCCCCTGACACCTACTGACAGGGTATTTGCAGCACCACACAGGGACTCAGGGCCCTGTGACAGGAGGAGCACTGAGGAGGTCCATGATAGTCTTGAAACCATAAACAGCAATAGGAAACCACTGGAGGCAGACTCAAGCTGTGCGACTTGCCTGTGGTTGGTGGCCATACTGCTTTTTGTTTATAGAATTTGCTGTTCCTTTTATGGCAGGTTTGGTAAGGTTTGTTTTTTTTTTTTCTCCTTGTTTATGGAGATTAGCAGCATAAATCCTTTTATGGCAGTGCACAGTCCTCCATAAACACTTTGACTGTCGCTGATGGTGAGTGCTGTGTCTGTTTCAGGTTCACCCAACACTCTGCTCATCCAAGCCAAGAGCTTCTCCAACCAGATAATGGAGTCCAACTAGCCGACTTTCATGTTTAAGACTCCTTCATTTGGAGGGCTCAGGAAGGTGGGGCAGAGTTGATGTTGAGAGAAACAGATGTTTAATCAAGCCTAGAAATATTTATGATGAGAACAAACCACGCATTGTACTATTTTTGAGTAAGAGGCTTCTTAAAAGACTTTGTGGCAAGAAGCAAGCACTGATGTGGAGGGTTTTGTTTTTTTTTTTAATAGCTTTTTATATTCTAATCTAAAGCTATTTTTAATAACTTTTTATATTCTTATCTTTTTAGTTTTTTATATCTTTATCTAAACCTATCCATTTTTTATAATTACTATCTCAGCTCTACCATACGCAGTGTGTGTAGAGTTACCTCATGGAGAGCCTACATAATTCTGATTCCCTAACATTGTCACTTATAGGTATTTATATATATATCTTGAAGGTAGAAATACTTGGAGGTATTTCAGGTCTCCTGGTAATGTGTCAGCATTTTTCCAGTTTTTCCAAACATCTGGACAGAAGGAAGTCAAACTTTATTGAAAATGTGTATCCTAGGAATTCAGTTCTTTCTGCCATCCCAAAACTAAAATCCAAGAATCAGCAACTTAATAAAAATGCAGTAAATTAGCACCTCTAGACAAGAGCAGAGTTCATTCAGAGCTGGGGTCTGCCTGGCTGAGCCAGTACTCTCTCCATTTTAATAGTTTAATAAAAATTAGCATAATTAACGAACATCTGTATGATCCAGAGTGGTGCAATTTGGCACTTGGAAACGAGGGCTTAAACATGATTGCTGTGAGTTTAATGTTGTTTTAATTCTTTTTGGCACTGTGCAGTGAAATAAACGTTTGGTGGTGATAGTTCTCGGCCGGATCTCATTTGCATTTTTCTCCCTTTGATTATGAGCAATTGTGGACTCCCCAGCAATTCATCAAAGTAGAAATTATTTTAAAATACCTCGTGGTGTTCAGACTGGGCTGGAGCAATGCATGGGGTGGGGCGGGGCAGTGGAAGAAAAGACTAGAAATTTTCCATTCATGCTTTTAACATCTCAGCCCTGCAGCCCTTTTCGGGTATCCAGCCAAGGGATGAAATCTGGAAAAGACAGTCAGATCCCGAGACCTGTAGGTGCTTTGATTAAGCTCCTAGGATCCCACAGCAGGATATATATGGTCTCTGAGACTGTGTCATGCTCCTTACACTTCTGCCTGCTCTTTTGTTTTGAAGGGCAGAGAGTTGATTTCACTCATTTCAGTTCTCACCACTGTGGTGAGGCTACTACATCTTCGGTCAGCAGGGTCAGTGTTCCCCTCAAGCAAGAGCGCACTGACTGGGAGCTGAGCCTTTGCAGGTGTCCTGCTGTGCCTCATCTGCTTCCTGTTTGCGCCCTCTTCAAGTTGGCAGAGAGCGCCTTTCCAAGGCTCAATCCCAACTCCTGGTATTACAGCTAAAGGAAGATGTTGCCAAGCGTGAGTCAGAGCCAGGAGTCTTGAATGATCCCTAGGGAGAGAATGCCCTCTCAGCCCCTCAGGTGATGAAGATGACAGCATCTGGTAGGTAGAAGACCACTCTTCACACATGTTTAAGCAAGTCGACTGTGATCAAAAGACTGTCAGACAGCATTGTGTCCCCACCTTTGCCTATGAGATAACAGAAGAACCAAAACTAGAGTTTTGGTGAGTTACAGTGAGAGAGGAAAACATGGCCATTGCTTTGATGTGCTAACATAATGCAACACTACAGGAAAACTTAAGGCAGAATCTGCCCTAACTTCAGTGTTGGGAAATGGACAGGAACATAACTTGCACCAATAGGAACTTTAAAATATCCTAACAGGCATAAGCTTAGGAATTCTGGATAATTTCCCAAAAGGGGAGGGCAGGCTGTAGGAGAAACTGACCTGGAGGAGGGTGAGTGTGAGGTATGGTAGACACATTCATTTATTTCACACTGATTTTTAAAAGGTAATTCTCTGTTCCTTTTAGTTTCAACTCAATGGTCTCACTTCTTATGGCATTTGAGGCTGTCTTTGTGGTATTTAGAGAGCCACTTGGGGAAACTGTCTCCAAAGACAGTTGATCTCTTCCTGCCACAATCAGTTCAGTCACCAGGGGAATAGCTTGGAGTTAGTTGTAACTAAATCTGCTCAACTCAGAGTATAAATCCTCCCTGCTCCCTTAATTTCTTCATAACCTCATTTAACAAGTATTTTTTTCTGGCCCCATTCTGTGCTGGGTACCATGCTGAGTGCTGGGAATACAACAGCAAACAAAACCCACAAGGTCCTAGCTCTCACAGAACTTTCCACCTAAGGATTGGCACTGAGACGAAGGCAGACCAGCACAAGGAAGCGAGCGTGATGAACTCATTTCCGGAGAAGCACAGGGCACAGCACTGTGGACCACAGAGCTGAGGTCCCCATGCAGTCAGAGAGGAGTGAGGAGAGGCTTCTAGACAGTCTAGAGAGACTCAGGAATTGAGATCCAAAGGCTGCTGAAGAGTGAGCCCATGAAAGGGAAGAAAGTAGAGACTAAACAGAAGAACGCCTCCAAGGTGAGCGAGCCTGTGGTCCATGGGAGCAGCTGATTTGGTGGCTGAAAGTTGATAAATCTGATAGCTTCTCCTTTCTCTTTGAAGGTAGAAAAAAAGTCATCTGCTGAGAGGGAGACAGGCAGAGTTGGAAGAGGGAGATACACTATCAAAAAGAAACAAAAAGATAACCACTTGACTTGGAATTTTATTGTCATCAACCTGGTTTTCTTTCTTTTCCTTTTTCTTAGTAGAACTCAGCAGCCAGGTGTGCAAAAAGCAGACGGCTCCGTGATACCCCAAATCCAATTGAACTTAATCCATATTTCCCATGTATTCTTAAATTTTAATTCCTTCAAAAGAAGAAAACATTTTCTGGTGCTTTCAGGAATAGTCCCTTAATGTTCAACATCTGCTGCTTTCGAGAAGCTCTTCTGTATTCAAGAAGCTCCATTCTCAACCCTGTGACGGCCCCTTCTTTTAAACTCTCTCATTCTCTTTCTTATTTGCCCCTCCCTGTGGCTCTTATGTCCTGCCTGTCGTTGTTGATGTACCTGTCAACCTCCCACCTCTTCCAGGAGAAGAATCTAATGTTTAGAGCACCTACTGTGCATCAGGCACTTTGAATTGTTTTCACTTCTGTGGCGTCACTTTATATGCCCACAACATAAGGGAAGGATGATACTATCCCTACTCTTACAGAACAGGAAGTTAAAGCTAGGAGAACCTAAGGTCACATGGCTACTAAATGACCAAGCAGGGATTAGATCACAGCCTGTCTGACTCCAAAGCCCATTATTCTATGCTGTAAGCTCCCAGAGAGCAAGCAATGTTCTGATTCATCTTTATATGTCTCATAGGAACTCAAACAGCACTTTGCACATAGAAGATGCTTGGTAAATATTATTGATTTGAACTATGACCTAAATATTTTTAGTGTTCTTGGATTTTAGGGTGTGCCCAACTTTCTCTGAAGAAGCCATTTCACTCTTCTTGGTAAAAGTCATGCTCTTCAGGTTCGAGCAATGGCGTCAAATGTGCTAAGTTTACGATGTAGACAGGAAGATGGCAAAATGAAAAGTTTGCTTTCCTTCTCTAGATGACTTTAATTTAATAATCCCATCAAGGGTGTTAAGGAGTCATACTAATAGTGTCAATAAAGAAATCACCCAACAGAATCTCCCATGCAATCACCGTAAGAAATTAACAAAAGCATGACCAAATTCCAACTGAAACCATCCTCTTTTCATTTTTCAGGAGTATAACATGTATGGCTGGTGGGTAGGAGAACTGAACAGTCTCATTGGGATTGTTCCAAAGGAGTACCTCACCACTGCCTTTGAAATAGAAGAAAGATGAAGCCCAGGTATTAGAACTACTGTCGATGAATTTGTTGGCCATGCCTTTGTTTCTCTGTGAAGGATGAGACTTGCCAGTGAAGTAGCTTTTTTTCATTTCCCAAAGTGATGCTGAGTCACCATTGAAAGAAAATGAGTCTGAAATTGTTTTTCCTAAATTGCGGGGCAGTCAGTTAGGATTAGGTTCAACGACATGTGACAGAAAATTCAAAATAACAGTGATTTAATTAACATAGAAATTTATTTTTCTCCTGTAAAAATCTGGAGGTAAGTGATGCAAGGTATCTAGGTCCCAGGTACCTTCTCTTTTTGCTCCACCGTGTGTGGCCAACATTCCTAGGGTTACCTCATGGCCCTGGATAGATGCTCCAGCTCCAGCTATCATATCTGTATCCTACCCAACAAGAAAAATAAAATGAAAGGAGAAGGGTACACACTCTCTTTGTAAGGACACTTCACAGATGTTGCACACACCACTTCTGCTTTCATTCCTTTGGCCAGAACTTGGACATACAGACAGACATACCAAGCTGCAAAGAAAGCTTTATTCTAGGTAGAACCTGTGTCCAGCTTAAAAGTGGAGGGGAGGGAAGGTTTGTTAATAAATAAAAAAGGGAGAATAGCTATTGGGGAACTACTAGGAATTTTTGCCACAAGCACGGGTCTGGGTTTCTGTATCCCCTGCGCCCAAATCCAGGCCACCAGTTCCCCCAAATGCCCATGGATTACAATATGATTGGCCAAGATTAGGAACCCAGTATGAGGGTTCCTATGGAACATAATCAAATTAACTTAGGTAATAAAGAACATGGCTTTGCATTTTATGAGCAAGAACCACATCATATTTTAAATCAGTGGAGTGAGTGCTTGCTTTGGGTGGGATAACTTTGCAGTTGCTTTGGCACACAGTAGGTTTTGTTTAGAATTAGGATGGTGATGGAGGGCACCCAAGGCTAGCATCTTCCAGCTTGAAATGGGAGCAGCCTTGACTGCTGGGGATGAAGGATGACATGTGTAAGGAATAAAAACTGTCTTTGGAATCTTCCAGACCAGGGCCTACTCTAGTGTGCAGCAGTAGCTGAGAAGATTCATTTAGGCAAATACATAAGGATAGATCTTACTTTCCAATGCCCTTGGACAAACATAAAGCACCAGCTAGGGCCTGTCACTCATGGTTTGACTTTATGACTTTCCTGACAAGGAGTCCATTTCCTGGCCATGAATGTAGAAGGGTCAAATCTAAATAAATTCACTCTACTTCACATTGTCATTCACTTAATAACAAAGTTGTTTATCTCATTCTCTTTGACTCAATAATTCCACATCTAGGAGTTTATCCTACAGCTACACTTACACACACACAAAGTGATAGACACACAAGGTTGTTTGTTTGTAATAGCAAATCATTGGAAATGACCTAAATGTTCAATAGAGACCTAGGCAAATAGCTGTAGTACATTGACAGAATTGAATACTATGAGACAGTAAAAAAGAAAAAGATGCTCTGCACTGATAGAGAATACATTCTGAGATATGTTGGTAAGTGAAAATTTGTTCAAAAGGCAGCAACGAAGCGTAGGCCAAGTTGCTCCATTTGTATAAAACGGGAGTCTCCGATTGCTTATACGTGTATGAGATAGCTCTGGAAGGAGAAAGAAAATGTCAACACCATTGCCTCCAAGGAGAGAGAAACTGCATGACTGTGAGACAGGGAAGAAGGGAGGCATTTTTTACCCTATGCCCTTTTATATCTTCTATGTTTTGAATGATAAAAGCATATTTGTATATTTTTCCTCCTTTAGGACACATATCCTTCTCTCTCTCCTGCCTTTATGAAGAAACTGATCACCAACAGTTCCCGCCCCAAGCCCTGCCGCTCCTCCAGCACCACGGACTCCTCTCTTTACTGAAGAGACCCAAGTCTCTGACACCTGTAGTAACTGTACACCAATAAGACAAAGGGGAAGAGGCATATTCAGCAGGCCCATTATTAAACCTTCCTTGTCCTAGCCCGTCTGATCTCTCAGCGTGTCCTCACAGCCACTTCGGCCCTTCCCACAGGCTTGTCACAGAGGTGAGAGAGAAGGAAATCTTTGGAAGAGAAAGCTGTTGGTTGTTTTAACTGACTTGAAAAGCACCAATAAACTTCAGATTTAGTTCTTTGCCATATGTGATGGTGTCGAGTTTCTTTTTGAAATGGTATCAAAATGCCGGTTCTGGGCATTTGTGCCACTTCCAAACAAAGTAGGAAGAGACGGCCAGAGAAAAAACATAAGCCCAGACAGACAAGGGGACTTGCAATTGTCTTTCAGGATTGGATCCTCTCGGGAACTTAGGCCTGCCTGGTTTCTGCTTGGTTTCTCAAACTTCCTTTGGCTGCCTCTTGGGTTTTTTTTTACGTGCTGGATCTCTCTGAAATGAGACAGGGCTAGAAGCAACTCCTTGGAGTCAGCACTTGGAGAGTTCCTTTTCAACCTCGGTTAACTACCCCACTGTGTCTTTCTGTACCCCCAACAAGTCCTAGATGGGACCAGGGAAGTGCTTTGAGGAGGACTTATGTATACACAACCCTGTTTCCTTTTCCTGTTGCCTATACCTAGCACTCAGGTCATCTGTGCCTTGAAGAGGCAGCAAAACATAGTGGTTAAGAATATAAACTCGGAAATAAATCCCAGTTCTCCTTTTACTACATATGTTCTCAAGGCAAGTTACTTGACCTTTAAAGCTTTAATTTCTTCACCTTAGAAGAGGTATACTCCATCTCGCTAAGTCATTAGGGAAATTAAAGGACAAGAATGTGCAGTGTACTTAGAACAATGCCTGGTACATAGTAACAGCTCAATAAGGATTAGCTATTACTATTGCCTGACTCTACATGAGAAATTTTGAAAAATGGGCAACTGAGCAGAAATTTTCTCAAACTACCTGTTCAGAGCATTCCTGGATTGGTAGTAGCCTTCCTCACCTCTATAATAACTATATTACAGCCCTGCAGTAAGACACTCACTTCACATCACCAAAAGAGAAAAACTGGGGAGGAAACGGTGATGTCGGTGGATTCTAAGTTTCTCAAAAAATCCTGTGCCAGCTATTCATTTCCAGATCTGATCCTGGAATAAAAAAACAAGGAAGTTTTTTGTGTATGTGATGGATAAAGAGGTAAGAAAAAGGGACAACTTAGGTCTGGGAGAAAAAAAAGAGAAAAAGCAACACAGAACTGTCCATAATGTCCCCTCCATTTTACACAGGTGCTAAAGGAGAAGGAACCACTAGGTGGCAGCATATGAGCAGATGAATCAAAGAGAACCAATTGCCTCCAGCTTTAGGAACCTCTGCACCAATCCCAACCAGCAGGTAAAGGACAATGGGCATTGTTCTAAAGTGTTTCACCGAGTGAACAACAGAAATCCTTCTATGCCCCAGATTTTTCTCTCCCTGAAGAACCCCCGCCAGGGACCCAAGTCTGCAAGGCTGGGAGGCTAAGAGGAGAGAATAACGTTGTGCCCCTGCCCTGTGACTGAGACACTAGAAGAAGAAGAACAGGTATCTGGGACAGAGTCAGAGGGAAATGAAAAAGATAAATTCAAGGTCAAGGTCAAAGTAACTTCTCCAATCTAGCATGGACATTGGCTTCCAGCATTTAAAACGAAATCCCCTTAATGTAATAGTCCCTTCTATATCTGTAGACCCGAGGAAACAACCATTTGCCGTGCTGCAAAGGTCTTTTTTGGCACCTCCATCAACTGCAGGGTAGGCACTACGTTCAGACCTCTGATCCTTCCAGCTGTAAAACACAGTGGAAAAAGAAATTAGTTGGCCCTAAAAGATATCAACAAATGGACTGATTGGAAATCTGGACTATAGCCATCTGGCTATCTCTGACATTGTTCTACGCAGGAAAAGATAAGAGAAAGTTAGATCGGTTGATGAGACTACTAACACGGCTGACGGGCATTCTCTTGTTAGAGGCAAGTTCCAAAGGAGAACTTTTGGAAGTAGCGAAATCCTAGTCTTTCCGGAGATCAACCTCACCTAGCTGAACTGCTCCCCACCCAATTAGACAGCCACCATCTTAGCCAACGGCCTCAGAAAGCAACTGGCTAATCAGATTACCATTTCTCTGACTCCACTAACCAAATCCCACTTTACTGCCTGTGACTAACTGGATAACTGAGGCTTTAGACCACTTAACTAACCATACATACGATGTATAGAATGGGTTCTTAATAGCCATTTATGCTCTGTTATGTGAAATATGAGAGGGCTGGAGGTGGGGGGCTTTTTTCTTTCCTTGATTTTAGGTAAAGATAGGAAAATAATAAAGCTCAGATCCTAAATTTAAGAAGCAAACATATATCTTCCTCATAGTAAATAATTTACACTGAACTTACTGACATCCACTGGATAATCTGACCTGGGGCTGGTACAGTTTGGCCTATATTGTCAAAACTAATATCTGAGAATACCAAATGCTCTGAAAGCAATCTTTCAGCTGTATTTCATTCAAAATGGTTTTTTTTTCTAATGTGTTTTCTCTGTCATCCATACAGCAAAATAGCATAGACACGGTTTTGCAGTTACCTCAATATTAAATTTCCCCATGCAGTGGCCTATTATCATTCTTAGAAATCTGTATTTAATTCAAAACCAACTACACCTTTCCTCTGGTGAATAAAAATGGGAAAGAGAATTCCTATTAAGCCAGATTCCCTAAACCCAGATAGTTTGATTCCATTTAAAGTAAGAGCAGTGCCAAAAGGTAGGACCAATATCTCTCCCGTTTGCGAGAGCTATTTTATCTAAATATAATATGTAAGCAGTAGCCTAGATTTCAAGTTATCGTTAACTTTTTTAGCACTTTAGCTTGCTCAGTTGAACTACCTTATTTGTATTCCATTAGTCTCTGCAAGTGGCAAAACTGAGGATCTGAAAGGTGGTGACTTAGACAAAAATCACACAAAATCTGCTGTGGCAGAGGAAATGAAAGACTCTTGAAAGACGAAATTCTCAGTCTGCTGTTTTGCTTATTGAATCACTCACATTCTATTGCAGTAAGACACCTCCACTGACACATTTTTAGAATTCACACTTCATGCCAGTCACTTGCAGCACAATAAAGCAGTGGTGTCAACGCGAAGAGCAAGATAAGGGGGAGAGGGACACACTCCTGCCTTTAAAAGACCAGTCTGAGAAAGATGGAGTTGATGCGAAGCAGTCGAGGAAGAAACTAAAGTATGTTTCGGGGGGTTTGGTTTTGTTTTATTTTAGGAACAAAACTCGCAGATGCCAGGGACAGAGGTACTTTAATCTTTGGCCAAAAAGAAGCCCTCCCCGTAGGTCTCCCCACCAGCAGCCACTCTGAAAAGTTATTAAATCTTGAGTGGCGCTGATTTGCTAATTCCCAGAGCACTAGCAAAACTGGTGGAGCTGACTTTAGAAAAAGCAGCCATCTACACAGAGGATTATCCCTGCTACACAGCCCAGTGATTCAAACTAATTTTCTAGTTTGTGGATTACTGTAGTCCCTTCCTCCTCCCCTTCCCTCCTGCCCAGACATTTCATTTCCCATTAGAATTTACAGAGATTGGGTAGAGAGTTTGAAACTTAACAACTTAAAAAAAATTTTTCTTCTTTAAGGGATTTGAATTATTCTCCCTATTTCCCTATCAATAACTATTCAGAAAACATGCTGGGTTTTTATTGTTGTTGTTGTTGTTAGTATAAATCGATGACTATTCTTTTGCAACCCTTTGGGATTCAATTAATAATACATTTTAAGATGTGGCCCATTTTGTACAAAAATTTTTATAAATATAATGCCCCCCCAAGAAAACTATTGTAGTAGAGGATGCTGAGGTGCAATTAATAGGATGACCATATAATTTATTTTCCAAACAGAGACACTTTTGAGACTGAAAGGGGAAGTCATCAATAATGATTCCAAGACCGCACGTGTAAACCAGAATGAGTGGCCAAGCTAAAAATAAGGCAAAATGGTTGCACAGTCACCAGGGGACTCAGCAGTAGACAAAGATTACCTGGTTCTCCTGGTATGATGTCTGGCAATGTCCCTTCTAATGAAGTCCTCTCCCCTGCAGGCCTGATTCCTAGGCAAACCCTGCCAACTAAGCTTTCTTTTCCTGATGCCCAGCCTATTCTGAGAGGCCTGGTGTCTCTGGCATCATGCGGCTTGTGGGGCTGGCCGGCTGTCAGCAGCTGTGTGTGTTCAGTTCCCTCGTGGGGCCCCATCACAGCCTGCCACCCCTCCACCTGGCAGAATGCCACTGAAGGAAGCATTTTTGTGGCACTGGGCAGCAGTATGCCACTTCCTGCGATGGGAGTAAGTTCCAAGAGGCTTCTAGTGCTGGTCCTCAAAGAGGGCATCTGGTTCCACTATAGATGTTCTTAACCTGATGGTGAGCAGCTGGCCACCTTTTATCCCCCAAATCCAATCATGGAACAGAAAACAGGCTACAAACACTTCCCTTTTCCCCATGGTCAGACACTCCATCCAGCATTACTCTGCCTTGAATCACCAAGGTGACAGACAGTAACACACCACCTACATTTTACTGCATGCCTCCCACGGTAGGCATCCTGCTAGGCCTGTCACTAACGTAGTCCACCTCTGGGGAAGTGCCTGGCATATGCAGACTGGAGATCATTTAACATCTCCAAGGAAGTACAGAAGTTTCGGGTGGGGGTGGGGAGAGAAGCAGAACTTGAAACTTATTACTTCATTCTGTTAGTGCAGTTTCTCAACCTGGCACGACTGACATCTTGGGCCAGATAATTTCATGTTGTTGGGGCCACTGTAGGATGTTCAGCAACACCCCTACCCCTGGTCCTCTATTCACTAGATGTCAGTAGTACCCCCCCACCCTCAGTTCTGACAACCCAAAATATCTACAATGCCAAATGTCTCCTGGAAACAAAGTTACCCCTGGTTGAGAACCATTATCTCAGGGCATGTGTGTGTGTTTAGGACCAAGCACAGAGAAACTGCCCTGCCTGCCAGAAGTTTGCGCTTTAGTGATAAGGAAGAGCTTACAGCTAGGTTGGGAAGACATAGAGTGTAAATGCCACGAATTCCTTAGGGTTTAAGATGCGGCTAGCCAGCCCAGCCCCTATGCTCCACAAGCACCTTTGAGATTTTGCCGGTATTGCTGCATATTTGCATGACAAAAATGTTTTCAAATGAACAGGCCCATACTTGCCAATTTAGAGAGTGCAGTACAGCGAGTCCCTCATATCCACAGCCGTGGTTACTATCCCTGTTTCCCTTTCCAGTGGCAGAAATCCCTGAAGCTCTTGATCAGAACCGAGGGAAATGCTATGTGCTACTTCAGAGCAAGAAACACAGGCTCACAGAAACACAGCATAGAAGAGAGCTGCAGCTGAAAGGTGACCGCTCTGGTTCCCTCCACTTTGCACTGGGTCGCAGTGGTGCAGTGCTCACTGCAGTCCCTAAGGCAGAAGTGGGGAGAGTCAGGACAGACTGGCACCTTGTGGCTGTGATTTTCCTGGTCCTTCATGTTAAAGGGAAAGTTTTCTCCTGAAGATGACTCCCAGCTCTGTCAAGAAGCAAAAAATAAAAAAATAAAACACAACCAAAACCCACTGCCTTCTCAGGAAGTCAAGACAGGACAAGGGGTCCATGCCTTTGTTGTCTTTGCCTGCACAGGCCAGAAAGGAGGGCCATCACTGCCCTGGTGCCAGCCAGAGCCCTGTCAGTGCTTCTCCCATGGGCCCTGAATCTGAGGCACCTGGAAGGGTTATTAGCAGGATTGGAACTCATCCCTCTGCTGGGACTAGATCATAATTACAGTAATTTTCTAACAGAGCTCGGCAGTAGGACTGTTTAATCAGCATCTGACTCCCTTGTGCTCCCAGCCCTCATCACTCAAGGAGAGGAGTGGGATGGCTCTTAAAGAGACAGTGCCCGTCTTTCAGTGTTTGGAACAGATGTGCCTTAATTGGTAGAATATATCTAAGTCTTGTAGCTTATAGAAGGCAGGTTGCATTGCCTCCAACAAACCGCCTCAGGCTCTTACTATTCCAGGCCTTCTGCTGGAGGATTTCAGGACAGGCTGCTGGGGGCCCTGGCATCTACACCAACACGGCCAGAGGGGAAGGGACATACACACAGGGCTAGAGCACTCATGGAAGGATCTAAACTAACTGCCTCTTCTAAACAGACAGTATGAAGGAAAAAGTGCTTGGCTGAAGGACAAGAAGGAGAGACTCAATAGCCACAGATAATTGTGGCTGATAGTTTCCCATAATCTAAAGATTACAGAAGCATCTCATGTCCCTGCCCTTCTAGGGATAAAAAAAACTTACAACTTTCAGGTAGTCTTTTAATTCTTACTCTAGCTTTACCAGCTCTCCCTTCCTAACATTCATGCCCCTTTCACTACTCTGTAAGCACCCCTTGTTTTTCTCCCCTGAACGTAAGGAAAATTGTTCACTCTGCTCATTAAGTCAGGAGCACTCTTGTCTTCTAGAAAGTGTGGCTCTTGTTATCCTTTCAAGCATAAATTGTCTGTTTATTATATCTTGGGAGTTGAGGTTTGAGCTTTACAGCTTCAAATCAAGCCATTATTTAGATGGAACCAATTTTTCCCCAAGAAGTTCTTTCTCTAAGATACTAGGACTGACTCCTGCTAGCCTATTGGTAAGCCAAATGCATGCTTGGTCTTTGTAGCAAGTCTCATAGCTTCTCGAAACAGATGAGCTGGGGCAGGAAGACAAGATGGAGACAAGAGGTGGGTGGGGGACTTCTAAAGCAAAGGCATATTGTTCCTCATCTCTAGGAAGGAAGGTATACAGGTAAGACTAGGACGGGGGACATTCATCCACAGTTCAAAGAAAGGTTACCTTGAGCCAGGCAACGTGCCCGCTACAGAGCTGAGTCCCTGCTGGCTGAGAGGGGTGGCTTAGGATCAGTGCCCAGGCTTGACTGAGGAAGTCACTATCTCTCACTGCAGTGGTTATCTACTTGGCTTTAGCTGCGTCTCAGCTGGCCGCTCACTCACAAATCCACAGACACCACTCTAGGCCTACTGAAAGCTCCTGCGGCCTCCCTGAGGCAGGCCGGGAGCTGGACTGTTTCCATTTCTACCTCCAACCTCATCTCGCATCCTCCCAGTCCATTGTCCTCCCCACCCCTAGATGTTAAGACTATTCAGCAAGAGCTGAGGCATCTAAACAAATTCACAAACATGGAGCTAACTTAATATCCACAGCTGTTAAAAAGTCAGGATCACCTCCCAAGCAAAGCTACCAGAGAGGGTACGAGGTGCCTAGGACTTGGTGGTGTGGATCTAAGGCCTTAGCAATTAGAAAACTGAGGACTGCAGAGGAGCCCTGATTTCTGAGAATTGAAAAAGCACAGGGATTTTTCTTCTTGTGAGTAGTAGTGAGCTTATTTTAGCTTTTAAAAAAGGGTTTTTTTGGGGGAGGGGGGGAAACCCCTTGTCATACAGAGCTTGAAAAGGACTTCTCATATTCTACCACCATCTAAAAATTTTTTTAAAAAAAACATGCTTACCCGAGTTTCCTGCATATATGAGAGTAATATTTGCCCTGCCCTCCTCACTGGACACTGAGGTCAAATAAAATGATGCATATGAAATTTATGATTTTCATACAAAATCCACCACCCCCTCTACCCACAAACACACATATGCACATTTCCTTTCACTAAATAAAATGAAACCCACGAGCTTGGGATCACTTATCCTGTCTAACAGATGACTAGACTTGGGCCATGGAAGTAGTTGTTGAAAGAAAGGTCACTAAATCAGGTACAGAAACTACCTCAAACTTAAGTTCTAACAACAAAAAAAATACTTTCATTCTACAGAACAGCTCAGGCCACTCACGGAGGTCATCAGCCATGGCAGCTAGCCCTTAGTACACACTGAAACAGAACACATGAGAGACGCAAATGGTGCTGCCTGGATGGAGAGGGAAATCCATCCTTGCCATTTTTCTGCTAACTCTAAGCCAATAATATTAGAAAATGCCTTCCTTTCTTAGGACATTTCCTTCCATGGCCTATACGCAACTCTGTATAAGATGGTGAGGAGAATGGTACCTGGCTTTACATTAACTGAGGTGCTATTATATGCACTGCTGTTAATGGATCATTAAAAAAGCTGAGAGTCAGAAAAATCGCATCCCTGTCTTTGAATGGCTCCTGCTGTCCCAGCAGCCTACCCTGCTGGCAGAACTAGCTTCTGAGCACTAACTCCAGCAAGAAAAGGAACGAACAGAAGAAGGCCAACCCAGCTTGCTGTTTTTTGGCTGAGTAGGGAATTGACACAGACCACCTCCGGCTCCTGTCTGGAAGTTTCGAGATCAGAGAGCTTCAGGCACAGCTGGGTTCACAGCTGCACCATTTGGAGCATTGGACTCATTAATATTCATGAGTCATCCCTACCAATCGGCAGAGCGGATGCCATTAGCTTAGCATCTGTCGGGTTTTTGTGAGGGTTGTATATGGAGTTTTTTCCCCCTTTTAAATGAACTTCTTTTGACATTTTGGATTTGCCTCTGTAGGCTTTCCATCCTCGTCTTGCTCTGCTGCATCATATAAAGGAGGGACTCAGGGGAGGCGGGCAGGAAAGAAGGATGAGTCCCAGCCAGGGCTTTGCATCTGCCTGTTGACAAACTTTATTTCTCTTTCAGCACCTGGCACCTTAGACAGGCTGCGAGGATGAAAGCAGCAGCAGGTAAATTACACCTAACAAGGTTCATGCCCGTAACTGTGCAAAGAGGTAGATCCTGGCTCTTTGGAAGATAATCCTTTTTCCAGTGGTGAACTTGAGCTGCACCACACAATGCAGGAGAACTGCAGTGCACAGTTTTGAACCATTATTTCCACGCTGATAAATTCATGATTTATGAAAGTAACTACTGCCAGCCCTCACTCCCTCCGTTTCTGCTACAGCTTGTTAGACACAAATTGCAACAACAGTCTTAAATAGTTGAATTTTATTTCAGGCCAAAACCCCTCAACTCCGAACTAAATGCCATGACAGTCCCACAGCATAGGCTGGTAGTAAAAGAGCCCACAGACAGGGTGGGATGGTCAGAGGAGGGAGGAGAGGGCAAGAAGAAGAACCACACACAAACCTAAGTGCAGAGCAATGCAGAATGCTGGCAGCACTCATCTCCTACAGGCTCCGGCTCTCAGCGGAGAGGAATTATGGCAGCAGGAGGGCAGAATGCCTCATTGTCTGAAGGAAGGCGTGTTGTTCCTCATCTCCATCCCCAGAGTCCTCTCTCCAGGCAGAAACAAAGCCCTTGCACCCCATTGGACCGAACATACGGCCTCCCTGCAACACAGCAGAGGGACACTGTGGTGGCTGAAGCCCTAGGGGCAGGGAGCTGTTACTAAGGGAGAAGAAAAGGATTTGAAAAAAAACAGAATCCATGATACCCCTACAGAAAAAATGATCACGTCTCTGCTTTATAACCATAAAAGACAGTGACAGCCCAGAACAGCCTTTTCCAAAACAAAGCTCCTCAAGCTGTTAACTTTCCACTGTCTGCAAACGACCTCTTCTCTTTCACGGCTGGCCATGAGCTATTTTATTGGTCTCGGGCTCCACAAAGCCAGGCTGAAGTCTTGGGATATGCAGGGAACCCCAGCAACAGGAGTCACAGCACCTCTCCGTCCATTGGAATGAGTGGAGGAAAAGCAAGGAGGTGAGAGAATAAATATTCACCACCCTGTCCATGCAAGGAGGTAGAGAAGGGGCCAGCCTCCTGGAAACAAAATGCTCCAGTGCCTGCAGCAAAAACAGAGCCAGTGGGAATACAGCTACATAAGCATTTTTCTTGGGACAATATTCAATGCAGCAGCTTAAAAGCCGCCACTTACAGGTCTCCAAAACCAGTCACCTGAGGCAGTGCTCCTGGGCCCATTAACAAACGTCTAAAGAAACTCAGCTCCCAAGATAGTAAACACAGGATTCTGTTCAAAACCAACAACAGCCCCTGGGCCTTCTGCTTAACTTATAAACATCCACACAGTGTTTACTCCTGTGGAGGAAGCTTGAGGATTTGTGACCGACCTCTGTACAACCAACCCAAGCAGAAGTTCGACACTTAGCAGTCCAACCTCTCCAACACTTGCCCTGTGCCCAATCCCACCCAAGTAAGATTCCTTGCCTGCATCTTCTCCATCCACCTCGGAGCAGAACCCAGAGCTCGGACCAGAGCTCACTTTTCCAAAACTGTTTCTAACTGTCCAGGATCCAAAGGCACAGCATGGTCCCCTCCTTCGGCTCTCCTCACAGGCTGAGGAGCAGAGGGTCCCTCATCAGGTCTTGCAGAATCACAGCATGAGGGTGAGGTAGGGGGTGGGAGAGCGGGGCTTTCCAAAGAAGGAGCCTCAGAGTCAACAACGGGAGCCCACACCTCAAAATGGTCCTTTTCTTCCTCAGGAGGAGGTGACGGAGAGCTCCTCCTGCTTGATCTTGGAAGAAAGCAGCAACTGAAAGAGTGGGAAAGGGAAAAGAAGGAACAGATAAAAATGCATGGATAAACACAAGTGAACAGACAAACAAAAAGATGCTATACCCATACAAATGGATTGTTATTCAGCCATAAAAGGGAATTAAGTACTGACACACACTACGACGTGGATGAACCTTGAAAACAAAGTAAAAGAAGCCAGGTCCCAAAGACCATGTATCTCATGCCCCATCTGTGTGAAATGTCCAGAAGAGGCAAATCCAGACACAGAAAGTAGATTACTGGTTGCCAGGGGCTGGGGGTTGGGGAAAATGGGGAGTCATGCCAATGGGCACAAGGTTCATTTTGGGGTGATAAAAATGTTCTAAAATTGACTGTGGTGACTGATGGTTGCACAGCTTTGTGAAAAAAACTAAAAACTCCTGAATTGTACACTATAAGGGTGAATTTTATGGGATGTGAATTATATCTTAATTTTTTAAAAGAGGGGATAAAGGACAGAATAAAAAAGCCTTTTCTTCTTTCTTCCCAGGTTTCAATAGGAGAGCCCGCTACCCAGACATGGGTTAACACAAACCCAACCCTTGTGCATGGGATGAGAGGACCATGCACAAGAACGAGACCTCTTCTGAAAGGCTGCCAACACTGTGACTTTAATTTCTCTATCAAATGGACACCTCACTGGCCCAGGTAACAGTATTCCTTGTCCCTAGTGTCTTAAAAAAGAGAACTTCAATTACCTCTTAGGCTGGTCTCCTTTAGCCGAGTGAGAAGAACCCTGCCTCTCTTCCTGGACCCAGCCACAGTTGGACATAGCGTAGCGAAGAATGGCATCAGAAACGGTCATGGGGCTTCGGCCCTGGACACAGGCTTCTATCTCAGGCACTGAGAGCTGGCTTTGCAAGAAGAGGTGCTTTCCAAAGAAGGAGCCTCAGAGTCAACAACGGGAGCCCACACCTCAAAATGGTCCTTTTCTTCCTCAGGAGGAGGTGACGGAGAGCTCCTCCTGCTTGATCTTGGAAGAAAGCAGCAACTGAAAGAGTGGGAAAGGGAAAAGAAGGAACAGATAAAAATGCATGGATAAACACAAGTGAACAGACAAACAAAAAGGTGCTATACCCATACAAATGGATTGTTATTCAGCCATAAAAGGGAATTAAGTACTGACACACACTACGACGTGGATGAACCTTGAAAACAAAGTAAAAGAAGCCAGGTCCCAAAGACCATGTATCTCATGCCCCATCTGTGTGAAATGTCCAGAAGAGGCAAATCCAGACACAGAAAGTAGATTACTGGTTGCCAGGGGCTGGGGGTTGGGGAAAATGGGGAGTCATGCCAATGGGCACAAGGTTCATTTTGGGGTGATAAAAATGTTCTAAAATTGACTGTGGTGACTGATGGTTGCACAGCTTTGTGAAAAAAACTAAAAACTCCTGAATTGTACACTATAAGGGTGAATTTTATGGGATGTGAATTATATCTTAATTTTTTAAAAGAGGGGATAAAGGACAGAATAAAAAAGCCTTTTCTTCTTTCTTCCCAGGTTTCAATAGGAGAGCCCGCTACCCAGACATGGGTTAACACAAACCCAACCCTTGTGCATGGGATGAGAGGACCATGCGCAAGAACGAGACCTCTTCTGAAAGGCTGCCAACACTGTGACTTTAATTTCTCTATCAAATGGACACCTCACTGGCCCAGGTAACAGTATTCCTTGTCCCTAGTGTCTTAAAAAAGAGAACTTCAATTACCTCTTAGGCTGGTCTCCTTTAGCCGAGTGAGAAGAACCCTGCCTCTCTTCCTGGACCCAGCCACAGTTGGACATAGCGTAGCGAAGAATGGCATCAGAAACGGTCATGGGGCTTCGGCCCTGGACACAGGCTTCTATCTCAGGCACTGAGAGCTGGCTTTGCAAGAAGAGGTGTAACTGGCTGTCTGACAGGAGAACAACACTCTGCAGGACCCTGGAGCAAACACAGGTAGGACAACACAGAGCAACACCCTGAGGATTTGCTCTCCCAACCCCATCCACTGAAGAGCTCTGGCTTGAGTGAGCATGAGGGTAAAAAAAAAGGCATCTACCCTAAATGCACCTGTATATTCAATGGGCCATCCTGACTGGCACATTCCCTGCTCCCTGTCCCCACCTTAGGAGGCAAGTGCTGGCCTGCCATGTCCACTCACTTTTCGAGGAAGTGCTGCAGACCTTGTCGTCGCTTCTCAATGAACTCATCTGAGCTGCCAAAGAAGGTTGACTTCCCAGGAAGTTCAGGTACAGGCCTGTAGGAGTCACATAATGTAACACCCAAGATAAGTGTAATATCCAAGACAGTCATTTCAGCCCCTGATCAAGGAAATCCCCTAAAAAGAGGCACAGGTCAATTCAAATATCTTTTAATACGGTGGCGGGGTGGCTAACACTGACTGACTGCATGCCATGTGTCAGGCACTAAGCTAAGTGTTTTACAAACCTTATTTCATGAATCCTCCCAAAAACCTGTGAGAAAGATATTAGTGTCCCCATTTTAGTAGTAAGGAAATAGAATCAAAGAAGTAAATTTCCCAGTGCCACAGAGATAGTAAGCAGCAGAGCTGGTATTTGAACCAAGTCTATGACTCCAAAACTCCGTGCTGCTATACTACATTGTTTACAAAACCTACTCCCACCATCAGTTATTATTTTAAAAAGGAAAAAACTTGGACATGGAGAATGCAGGGTCCTTGTGGGTAAATTAAGACTACCTATGCCAGACCCAAAAAGTCACAAGTTTGGAATTTTCTAAAAATAGCTGAGTTGCAGCAAGTCATCCACAAACTCTTTAAAACTCCTTAGCCTCTCCTATGAGGTGCAGCACATACTTTTAAAACCAATGGCCAGGCTAGGGAGGCAACACCTGTCAGGGGAAGTTTTAACTGGTTTATGGGGGCCTGACCCATGACAATGGCCTCATCAGTCCCACATGGTAACTAACTGGCTAGGTCATCAACAGGCCATCCAGCACCAGAGCATCCAGTGACCATCCTGCAGTAGAATCACTGTTCTAAATTGTCTCCAGTTTTAGGACTTATTGCGGGGAGGGAGGGAGGTACAAGTGAGGTACAATACTCTTTTCCTAAGGCTCTCAGTCTATTGTGTCTCTGGAAAAAGGTCTCTGCACGAAAAAAGAAAAGAAAAACCACTATTTTTACATGTCAAGTAGACAGGATAACCACCTGTCAAATAAGTTCAGGTGCTAAAATGGTTCTGATAACTAGTGATAAGTACATTTAAATGCTAGCAGTACATCTGTCGAGCCCTAGACCAATACACATATATAAAAAAATGTTTTTTGATATTTCTATGACATTGTTAGGTCAAAATACTAGAAATAAAAACTCTCTTTACTTTTCTTACTGATTTGAAAACACAATTTAGGAACATGTTTCTCAGTTTCCTTAGTGCCTGGCATGTTGCCAAGTTTTCCTCATTGTAAATTCTAATTACCAAATAAGCACCTAAAAAGCCCGTCTCAGACCAAGACAGAAACAAGAGCAGACTCACACTAAACCAGCATTTCTCTGTAGCTGCTTTCTCAGCCACACAAACTCACGGTAGCGGCGACGCACACAGGATGTCTTGGCAGTAAAGGCCTTGCTGTTGGTCTACAAGAGGAAGCATGTGAAAAGGGTTTAGCAGAAAAGGACCAAGTTCACATGAACTCCCCATCATCACTCTAACTGAGGATCTAAGCCACTAGGCCAAAGTCCTGATCAGGGGCTCCAACTAGAGCAAGGTGCCACCAAGCAGCCTGCAAGCAACTCTCAGGCATACCCCAAGCTCTCTCTCCTCACCTCCCTCTTTGTCTGTCTCAGGCCTGTAAAAAACATTCACAAACAGGTTCTGCCTCAGAACTATCCCTCAGCCCTAGAAAGTGTTGATCTCAGTACAGAATTTTGATGCACTTACATGGAGGAATATCTTATAATCCACATAAGAATTCCAGGAGCCCTCATTCTGCACACGGGGGTCCTGAACACGCACAGTGATCACCTCCTAGAGGTAAGAAACGCTCCTTCAGCTTCAGCTCAGTCACATAGTAAAGCAGCTTTATCACAGGTTGCCAGATTTTTCAACCAGACAGCACCAACTTTCATTCATTTGTTCACTTATTCATTGAATTCAACAAATATTTATTTGTTTCAAATACTGTTCTAAGGCACTGGGTGGATAGTATATGAACAAGAGACAAAAATCCTTGCCTTCACGAGGCTTACATTCTAAGAAATGGAAAAACTAGTCAAACTGGAACCATTTTCCAATAATGCCACTGCTACTCATTTCCTTCTCCTGGCTTTACTCTGAGCTCATCAGAACCACCAAGATATTACTGTCAGAAGTACACCACCGAGCAATGATTTGCATCTTCTCCCAAATCCCCTCAAACTTTTACCCACCTATTTTGTGGAGACCACATGCTTACCTCCTGCTCTTGGTTCTCCAACATCCTACACCAAAAGCCCATTGGAAGAACACATCTGATGAGGGACAAATGTCAAAAGACAATCATGGTTAGTATGCTTCTATTCTTAAAAATTCTGAAAAATTTTAATAGACCCCACTGGGGAAACCCAGACAACTTTTTTTTTGTTCTTTTGTAAAACTTAAGAGGAAGCAAAAAAATTCCCCCACATTAACTCATTGACAAGCTACAAGCCCTGGGGGACTTGCCTCCCTTCTCAGACCAAAGCCAAGACCCTTAACCAGGCCACCTCTAGCTAAAGCACGTTCAAGTCTACGCAACGTTCACCTCAGGCAGCCAGAACAGGCAGGTTCGAGTGTAAAACCTTTCTGCGTGAACACCGTAGGCAAAGCAGTGTCTTGTGGGCACACACAACACAGCTTTACAAGTGAGCCTAACATCGCCCCCTACCGGCTGTTTATGGACAGCCAAACGCCCCAAAACATCAATGCTCCTAAGTCTCTTTGTCTTGCTAATAACCACATAGTAAAGCAGTTTTACCTCCCCAGAAGTAAATCGTAGAGAGCACCAGGAACACCTGAGTGGGTTGCTCAGTTGTGATCTTCCCTTATCTAATCCATTCTCTGGAACCCAAGCCAGTGTTTCTAATCATTTCCTCGCAGGACATTCCATTCGGTTTGTACCTCTGCCCACAAGCCCACAGCTGTAGAGGTTGACTCAGGATGTTTTCCGCTCCTTTGTAAAGATTCATTAAAGCCTAAGCCGCTGATTTCCCCCAGTGTGATAGTTTACATGTGCAAAGACATCACCCACTCCGACAAGAGGACCGTGAAGGTTGCAGCACAGGGTTACTCAAGCCCAAAGGGCCCATGATGTCACCTTCTGTTAAAATACAGCACTAATCTTGTTACTCCTAGAACCGCTCCAGCAGCATCCACTCTGGCTGCCACCTCCACCCGCTTCTTCTCTCTTAAGAGCGGAACAATAAGATTTAATTTCCCTTTCCAATTTACCTTGAAATGAAACCTGACTTCAGCCAATATGTACTGCCAACAAATGATCCGGGCTGGCCCCTGGGGAAACAAGACTATCTCTAAGATCTCCCTTTCCTCCCCCCATGGCCATTCACACCTACTCATTTTTAGTCCCACAATTAATTTTAAACGCATTCCCTTATTAGTTCTGCCTTACCATTAGAAGACTGTGTAATGAGTTTCCTTCTATTTTGTTTTGCTAACACAAAGCTAACATTTCAAGAGAAGGGGAACTTGTTTACACTACAAAATTAGCAAACAGCTTTTCCATTTCTTTCTAGTATACCAGAAGTTCTCTCCACACATGCTGTACTCAGAGACAAAGCTGCACAGTATATGACAAAATTGGGGTACACTGTCGAGCAAACCAAAGGTTTTATGATTGCAATATCATCTTAAACAGTGTTCTTGTTAACAATCTGATTTTTCATTTGATGCAGTCACCATTGAAAGGTAGGAAATTCCAGTGCCATGACAATCAATGTATAAAATCCTGGATGTAAGCAGTCAAATGGCTGTAACTAAAAAAGAGCAGGTCAACTCAACTCACTGTGAACAATTAACCACCTCAGATTTAAAAAAAAAAAAAAATTTTTTTTCTCTTCTTTTTTTAGGCATTTGGTAAATTGCCAGCACAGGAGCAGAGTTAAAAGATTCTGAAGTGTCTTTTCACAAAAGTAACGACAGGAGGAGAAATGATGCCAAGGAAATCACAGTCATCCACAAATTCAGTGGAGCTCACACATCTCTTGTGCCTTGAAAGGTTTGCCAAATTCAGGACCATAGTTTAGTAACTAAATGGTCATCACTTTCTTGGGCTCAAGAAGAGTTTGCCTAGGGCTCTGCATCATCTCCATGTGCAAGTTCCTCTCCTTTTCTTTGGGCCTAAAACCATTGAGAAACAAATAGCTATAAATTGGCTTTAAAAAAAAAAATCCTAGAACCCCCAAGATGCTGTATACTTAAATCTAAATTTATTTAAAGGGCACTAAGAAAGTTTCAGTTGTAAGTTTCCTTAAAAACACTGGAACAAATACAAAAACCTAGACTCCAAGTAGTAACTTCTAGCAACTATTCTCCATTAGCTTCCTCCCCATAGATGCCACTCCTCAGAGGAAATGAAGCTTAGTTCTCTGGAAGGAAAGAAGGAAGTTCTTAACTTTGGCTCAGTGACCTGAAAGATGGATCTGTGTGTCATCCAAATAAGGACAGAGTCAGTGATCCCCTCAGCTATTTATGCAACTCAGCACTAACTCCATTTCCTGGGCCCTTTAAATCACATCTGGAGTTTACTTTCTCCACCAGTATCTCCAGGGAGAACCCAGTTTTTTGCTTTTTACAAAGCAGATTCCCTGTGAAGCTTTCCAATGTCATAACAATTCAAGGCTCTAGCTTCACTATTTTTGCTCCCATTTAAACTTCAAGAGATAGCTTAAGAAACAAATCAGGTAATAAAAGTATATTGAGCCACCAAGATTCCCATCCCTTCTTACTTCTTGAGCCCTTGGTGCCAGATGGCAACTCAAAAACCTCTCCTTCCCAAATACCCACAGGTGGTAGAGGAAGCTCCCCTGTCTGCCCAAGCTCTGTGTGTTCCCAACCAAGCAGCTCTGCTCCATCCTTTTGCCCCTCTGTAACTTGCCATTCCTTCCACTTGGAAGGTAAGTCACAAAGACGGCCACAATCTAGCGCAAGAGCCTCCTGTGTCACTGTAAAATACCTGTCATTACCCCTAGTCCTTGCCGTTTGGATAAATGTCCCCAAACTCTCTTACTCCGGCCACTCCCCCTCCATTCTTAACGAACTAGGAGCACAGGGCCACATGGTCCTTCTCCTTTGCCTATTAAGCTTGGAGAGTAAGGAGGAAAGACGCTTTATGTTCCTTTAAAAATAAATGGAAAAGCCAGGTTTCCTTCATTGGATCCCGAGCAAGCACCCGCCTTTATCCCGGGAGGCGAGACACCCTTTAGGATGTCAAGCGAAGTCCCTACCCCAAGCGCCACTACGGAAGCTAAGGTCCGCAGCCTTCACCTCAGAGCAGCACCCACTCCCCGCGGCCCCGCCCACACCTCCTCACCTGAGAGCAGCACCCACTCCCCACAGCGACACCGCCAGAACCCCACCATATAGCCGGTCTCGGCTTCTCCTTCCGGGTGAGTGGATGGTGCCCCGGTGCACGACGGGAGGCGGCTCGCGACACACCAATCCCGAGTGCCCGGGACTCCCCGCCCCTGCAGGCCGCGGCTCTTAGTGGCGACTCCGCCTGGGGCGGCGCGCTAGGCCAGCCCAGACCCCGGCTTTAATCCGGACCCAACACCACTCGCTCCGCGCGCTGGAGGGTGGACACCTGTGCAGGGCCGCGTCCCGCCCATCGTTGTCAAACCAGCCAATCCGAAAACAGAGAGCGTCAGTAACCATCTGAAAGAGGGTCCCGGGGGCAGACCAGCATTAGGAGGTTGTCACCGGGATTTGCATTCTGCAAAGTGTGGTCTTGGGTGTTGAGGGGTGGGGCAGAAAATGTCGCCGTTCCTGGAACCTGGCAAAGTCCTGGGAGAGTTTCCAGTTGAACCCCATAGATAGCATTTTCTCAGCGGAGTTATCAAGACAACTCCAACTTAGATTCGTAAAACCACAGATCAGAGCGAA